GGTCAACCGAGAGAAGTCGGCCCTCACACCGACGCAGGTGGTTCAATTTTTGGGGTTCGAGATAGATGTGACTCAGTGCATCCTATGTCTTCCCCAAGCAAAGATCTCAGCAATTCAGAAAGAGATCCGACGGATTCTCCGCCAGGTAACGATCCCACTCAGGGTCCTGGCACGGGTGGTAGGCCTATTGTCCGCTTTGATCCAAGCCATTTACTACAGGGCCATGCAACGCCTGAAGGCACGTTTCCTCCGCAGGAAACCCTCTTACGTCCAACTGATCACCATCACACAGGAAGTCAAGACCGAACTTCGTTGGTGGCTGTTACATATGTCAGCCTGGAACAGCAATGCGATTTTCGGTCCGACCCCGGACCTTGTCCTGGAATCGGATGCAAGCCTATGCAAGCCTATGGGACTGGGGAGCGACCTGCGCGACTGCCTCCACGGGAGGTCCCTGGTCGAGCACGGAAACAGGTTACCATATCAACTGTCTGGAAATGATTGCAGGCTCATTCGAGATACGGAGCCTGGCTGGAAGGAGTGCTCACTCACCAACTTAACCTGAGATCCTGCCACATGACTCACATTACCCACAGGACCATCAGGGATTATAACCCCCCTCTCTCTCTCTCTCTCTCTCTCTCTATATATATATATATATATATATATATACATATCACATACAACACAACACTCAGTAAATCACATTCAAACACACACAATCACACTCAGCCAATCCAATCCACACATCAAATTCAGCCAACCACACATCTAGCCTTGTCCGTGTCAGTCACGCATGTGTGCACAGTTGAACTGGATTAGTGAGTGCCATCCAGCGCTAGTGAGCCAGTGGGCTACCCGAGCAGTGTTTGTGGGTTATAAGTGCTTTAGTGAATCCCTATTCTGAGGAAGCGATCTAAAGAAGTGGGTTAATAGCAAGGAAAAGTGGACTGGCAGGACACCAGCCTCAGATTATGACCAGGCCACAGATTTGTCTGTGTCATAAATATGAAAAATGCATTTAAAATGTACAAACACTATATAACTTTTCCAAACAACATTTCCATGCAGTGTTTTGCATCTTTGCGTCATCATTAGGACAATACTTGTATCGTAGCCATAATTCATGGTGATAAATATATATAGTATACAATATATGATATCTTAACGTCTATTGTAATAAAATCCCCATTAATTTGGGTGTTCTGTAATTTCTGTTTTGTTTCTATTGGTGACATCAGTAACATTGTGAATTATAGATGTTTAGGTAAAGGCATCCTTTCTGTTCTATATTTATTATATATATACTGTATTTACATTTTCTATTTATTACTATGTTTTTAATTTTTTTTCCTGAAAGCTGATTTGTAGAGTAAAATTCAAGTGCAGATTGATAGTTAGTTAACTATACTGTTACTTGATTAGAGGATAATGGCAACCTAATGAGTACAGCAAGCTTCAGCAAACCACATTATTTTAAAATAGTTTAGAGATATATAGTGTGCATAAAAACTAACACAACATATAGATATTTTTATTTTTTTATGTTAAGAATTGCCAGGGTTTTCTTAGCTGGCTGACCTGCTTAAAGTCTGACTGCATCTTTCTCAAAAAGCCGAGATAACTGTATCACCTGCAATTTGTGCTGAGTGCACCATCATTTTCCCTGTACACAACCCCTGTAAATATACTATCCTGTTGTCATCTTGATTACTGTCTTTCTCCTTTTCCTGTTCAGTCTGAATCCTCAGGAACCCAAGTTTATGTTGGTTATCAGTAAATTCTGATCTTGCTCTTGCATTCAGTTTTCAGTTTACCTGTCCACTCAATTATTAAGTCCTATTAGCGTTATCATCATTACTAATAAAAATATCAATATTCTCAGCAGTGCTGTACAAGGAGCGGGCAAACAAGGTAATCATTTCAAAAAGACAAACCAGATATAAAAAAACGACAGGTATGAAAAACCCTACTCACACGAGTTTACATTCTAAAAAATTAAAATGTATCATTTTGGATAGAGTGCACTTTTGGACAGGTTCCAAATAAATCTTGTTCCCATATGTATAGTGTTTCTTGCTGCAACTGCTGAAACTTAGTCCACATATTGTACAGCTCGGTGGAAAGTGTTGCCACGTTTTTAGCAAATAATTAATAATATGACCAGTGAGTTTAGTTTCACTGCTAGTGATTTTGCATGTTACTTTACTGACAAGATCAATCAAACTGAACGCAATCTCTCCTCTTTCCTCCTGCCCTCCAATACTCAGCTTCCATTTAATTTCTTCCTCCACTACTAGCTCATATCTCGCATATCTCGCTGTTTCTGATCAAGAGTTCTCTAAACTTCTCCTATCCATTCGCCGCATCACATGACCTCTTGATACCTCCCCATGCAATCACCAATCCTCTATTAATAAAAAGCCATATCTTGAGCCTACCTCTCGTTCTAACTGCCGTCCCATATCCCTATTCCATTTCACTTCTAAAGCTGCTTGAGCAGCTTGTGTTTACCCGTCTAACTCACTTTCTCAATACAAACTCTCTCCTGACCCCGTGACACTGTACTTTTCTGCAGAGGCGGCTCTAGACTTTATGAGGCCTTAAGCGAAACTCAAACATGAGGCCCCACTAACAAAAAAGTGCCTGAGAGTGTGTCTGACAGAGAGTATCCTTGTGTGTAAATGTATGTCTCTGTGAGCATGCTTGCGTTTTTGTCTGAGACCCTCTGTGTATGGGGTAGCTGCTTGAAGTGTGTATGGAGGGGGGGGGTGATGGTGAGAGGGAGAGGCGGGTGATGGTGATATGAGATGGAGGGAGGTGATGGTGATGTGAGACGGAGGGGGTGATGTGAGAAGGGGGTGATGTGGGATGGGGGGTGATGGTGGAGGGAGGGTGATGATGGTGAGGAGGGAGGGTTGATGGTGAGGAGGGAGGGTTGATGGTGGGGGTGGTGAGGGCGGGCATGATGCTGAGGGTGGTGGGGGGTGAGGAGGGTGGGGATATGGTGAGGCTGAGGGATGAGGGGGGTGGTGGGGCAGGGGGTGAGAGGGGGTGATGTGAGAGGGGGGTTTGATGAGGGGGTGATGTGGGGATGGGGGTGATGTGGAAGGGATGGGGTGTTGATGTGGGGATGGGGGTGATGTGAGAAGGAGAGGGGGTTGATGGTGAGAGGGAGGGGGTTGATGGTGAGGGGGTGGTGATGCTGAGGGTGGTGAGGGGGGTGATGCGGGCGTGATGCTGAGGGTGGTGAGGGGGGGTGATGCTGAGGGTGGTGGGGGGTGAGGCTAAGAGTGAAGTGGGTGGTGAGGCTGAGGGTGGTGGGGGTAAAACAGAGAGCCGCCTCTGCTTTTCTGGTATTCCTCCTAACTTTCTGAACGCTCATCTAGTGTCTCTTTCTCTGGTGCCAACTCTTACCAGCCCCTGTCTTAGTTGGTGTTCTCCAAGGCTCTGTCCTTTTGATTTCAATATCTTTATGCTGTTGATACTCAAATGTAACTCTCCTCCCCTGACCTCATTCTGCCCTCCTGGGATATGTTAGAAAATGCCTCTTTTCCGTCTCTAATTTAATGTATTCCTGTTTTCTAAAACATATTATTTCTTAAACCAAAATCCTCATCTTTCCTCCATCAGTCTTCCTGCACGTCAATGGGACACGTATTACCACAAATGGTCAAGCTCGCTGCCTTGGTGTTACTTTTGATTCAGATCTCACCTTTTCTCTTCACATGCAGAGTGTCTCCAAATCCTGTAATTACCTATTTAAAAATATTGCCAGTATTCTCTCATTTCTAATTCAAGATACAACTAAGACACTTGTTCATGCAATCATTATTTCCTGACTTGACTATTGCAATTCACTACTCATAGGCGTTACAAATACCTGCTTAGCCGTAATGAATGCTGCCACCAGGCTCATCTTCCTGACTGACCGCTACTCTCACACCTCACACTTTTGCCGATCATTACTGTTCCCTTCAGAATCCAATTCAAACAGCTAACACTAAAATGTAAAGTTCTCATTAACTCTTCCACTCCTCACTACATTTCCCCTTTATTCAACAAATACACCTCTTCTCGTTCCCTTCACTCTGCGAATGGCTTTCTCCTGACATCTGCTAGTTCCCACATGCTTCCCATTGCTTTGGAATATTCTACCTGTACCATCAGACTGTCCCTTTGTCTCCAGTCCTTTAATAAGTTACTGAAAAGAAACCTCTTTAGGAAAATCTTACTATTTTCCTGGGTGATGCTCATCTCATTATAATTGTGACACCCCCCCTTCGTTCCCTCGCCTCCATAGTCCAGGCAACTCTCCCTCCTTCTATTGTACACTTGTTCCACACACCACATGGGCATCTTATCCATCAATCCCTCTTTCCCTAAGAGATGCTGTTATTTCTCTTATGTATCTCTAACCCTTCCTCGTAGATTGAAAACTTGTTTGAGCAGGGCCTTCTTCACCTCGTATCTATGTTCATTATTGTCTGTCAATTACTTGTCAAATATCCCCAAGGCAGTGAAATATGTTGGTGCCATATAAATGCTAATAATATTAATAATAATAATAATAATAATAATAACTGACCTAGCTTGAGAACTCTTCTTCTTTTGTAAAAGTATATTTAGATGATTAACAAGTGTCATAAAACTCTAATTTGTCCTAGACACACCCAGCAAAGTTTAGCAAAAACAAAGATTTAGCACATCATGGACTACAATAATGTGGATCCTGGCTGTCTTGCATGATGAGACACATGATTGAGAACATAAATTAATGATCAGGACACCAAAAATGTGATTTTATATGAATTTTAATTATAAACATGAAAACATTTAATCTAGAGATGTTTCAGATGGATAAATGCCACTCATTTGAAATCAAATTCGGCATAGCTATCAAAATCAACAAGGACTGCAGTTGATTATTTTGATTATTTTTAATAGTCATATCAGTACGATTTCTCTATCATTTAGTGTTTCTCTGAGCAATATGAGATGTTTCCAATTACAAAAGGATAACACTGATATTAGGGAAGAGTTCTTTAACCCCTTAAGGACACATGACATGTGTGACATGTCATGATTCCCTTCTATTCCAGAAGTTTGGTCCTTAAGGGGTTAAAGCTACAAAGGAATCGGATACCTCTGTGAACATATTTAAATTCAAATACTAGTATTACATCATGTTCTGACAATTAATGATAGAGTCACAGAAACAATTCATTATTATAACATTATATATTTGCTATATATAGAATAACATGCTGCATGATAACATTAGAAAATAAATATTTAAAGACCTTTGAGAGCAGGAGCAAAATTAAACATATTGGCAAATGCAAACAGAAAAACATGCCTGTCACCCTTTTGGGAAATACTTTGGTTGGGCAAGCTTGTTTTTATCTTGTCTTGTCTTGTATCTAAGAAAGTCTTAATCTCCTATACTTATCCAATAAACAGGGACCACCCAGCGTACATGCCTACTTGGTGTAATGTGAGTAATTATCATTTATCAATGATACAATACTGTAAAACAGGCTTACACTCTAAAAATATATTAATAAACACTATAACAACATTAACAATAATCAAATAATTTAACAAAAATGAAACGTTTTGGACCATTTAATTGCAAAGGCTCTTGAAAACTAGGAGGGGATCTGTTTGTTAAATATCCATAAATCCACCCTCTTTTCAATAAGGTGCTTTTCACTTAAGCCCAATTTATTGTTCTGTCTTTTTCTTGCAAAGCTGTTATTGCTGTGTGCGCCTTACTATTTTAGAGCCGTCAAACATGCCTAGTGCATACTGTGACACATAAGACAATAGAAGGGTGGTATAATGCATTTTATGTGTGAGAAACTCCATTCTGGTAATAAACAAGTCTTTCCTTCACATGTCTACAGTGATTACATATACACAGCCATTCCGGGGCAACACTCTAAAGGTAAGTCAATGAGCAGAAACATTCTATTGGTTTCCATGCTGATTGTTCAACATTTAGAACTTAGCCCTTGAATTATATATGCTACCCCGTATGTACCTCAGTGAGCAAGGTTTGATTTGTTTTAGTATACATGCTATAAAATACAACATAGAAGCTAGACATTTTTCTAATTTACATCAGTGAAATATGTCCTCCAGTTCATTATTGTAAAAATCTCATAAATACAATAATTTACTTGTTATATTTGTATTTTGCTGCTGTAACCAATAAATAACCATTCCACAATGATGCAGTGACTTGCATTGTGCTTGTTCAGAAGGTCCATTTCTAGATTAGGTTTTAGACCATCTATATTAGAGTTAGTGTGTGAATTAGAGATGGTTATAAGTATTGAGCTCGAGTATGTCCGGCTGGTATGTCACAAACTTCAGGAACAACTCTGCACTCCATTTCTTGATCTCGTGGTAACACATAGTTAATGTGTTCTTTTCTTCTACAAGAGCAAAGCCAACATAGCATTATTCCTCCAATGGTAAGGAATACAAGTGTCGGCCAGGCCAAAAAGAGAGCTTCACCCATTTCTATTCTCAGTGCTCCTCTGCATACAGAAGCATCATAAGCCTGTCGGACAATGTTGCTAGTTGTCCAGCTCACTGGAATAAGGATGAGGAGAGCACTTAAGATGTACAAGATTCCAGCTGTTAAGAGCATACAATTCTTTCCGTGTCTTCGTTCTTCATTACATTGAGTAAACAGCATGCCAACAACTGAAAAGATGAAGGCTATTATTGTCATGGTAAGGGCAAAACCCACCAAGACTCTGCCAGATTTTAAATCGGACGTGACTGACACCAAGGAGTCATAAGTGTTACATTGCACTGAGACTCTGGCTTGATTGACGCAGGATGTCCACAAGCCATCCCACCGACTGATCCAGTATCCATCAACACGATTGTTAATAAATCCATTATTTTCAGCAAGAATGGACACTCTCCACTGGGGCATAAATGTAATCATCCAGGTAAGTATCATTCCAATACCTCCACATATGACCCCGATGATTTGCACCAAGAAACGAGCCATATTTGTTTTCTTTTGCTTCAGGAGGTTCAATGAATTAAGTTCCTCTTTAGTTAGCAAAGTTCAACTGTGGTTTTCACCAGACGATATGCCCGTGTTAGAAAACTGACATGCAGACTTGTATTTATTACTACAGTCACGTGCATTACACAATGGGATGAGTGACATAATGTCAAAATAAGTCTTGTAATTATTGCATTCCCTTAGAGTTAACGTGCCTTCTGAATTCTTGAGTGATATCGATGCCAAGGTTTTAGCCTCAAGCCAGCATATATTAATTTAGTTACGAGGATTTCTTTTAAACTTAAGAGTAATGCAAAGTAAACAAACAACACATACATATATATGGATAAAATATCACTAATGTAACATTTATAATCAATGTAAACTTTTCCCAGAATATACCAATAATAGGTAGACAATTGCATTTATGCTATGTTCAGGGACACAGACGGGCAAAGTTAAAATAACACAGACGGACAGTAAAATAATATTCTTCAGCACATTATAAACATTTTTAAGACATGTATAACCACTGGGAACTGAAATGTTGCCTGTACTGGTGATGTCTGAAAAAACTTCATAAAAAATATTTGCAAATTGTTGAAAAATAATAATTTCTTGGTATTCTTTGACAGCTTTGAACAGGAGTTTTACCTTACAGGGTTATTTAGTAAAGTGAGAATTCAAAGTGAATTTAAAATTTAAGGCCAAAGTCGCTGAGAAGACAAACTGGAATATTTCCAGTGGGCTTGACTGACCTTAAATTTAAAATACAGCTTGAATTCTTAGTTTAGTAAATATTCCAGTTTGTACACCCCAGATCTGGACAGGTTCTGTTCATAGAAAGACAGAGAGTCAGATCATTTTCTAAATGCAACTAATTTTAGGTCTTATGCTATAATTCTCTTCCCCCTCTCTCTCCTGAAGCCCCCGAAATCCAGATTTCAATCCTATAGTTCTGATCTTGTTCCCTGATGTCCTAATTTTGGGGACACCAGAGACCTGTCCTGAGAAATAGTAGAGTTTGCACATAATTAGATATGCTTGTGTTATCAGGGCACTAGGATCCTGCATGACTCAGTAACACGTATGATACAGTAACATAAAAACATTAGCAGCACGTTACCTATGATATCATTATTAACTTATTTCTAAATTGGCCTTGAGGAAATGATAATTGACATTTCCTGTCTTTACGTGACTTATGTATACCTTTTTGTTTTGTCATCAGACAAGTTTATTTTCATATTTGCATTAGAATCAACCCAGTCAGGTGTCACCTGCGTATAAGCCATCATACATACAATGTATAGCATACCTGTCCAGGAATCCTAATGAAAAATTAATGATCTATACACAACTAAGGCATGTAACAAGGTCTATATTCTAATACTACATAACATACTTATTGTCTTGTTTTCAAATCCTGTGCTGCTCTTTGAGAAGTCACAGCAGTGCAATACAAACCATATTGCACAGTGTGATTTGACACTGTGACACTGACATATTGCACAGTGTGATTGACATTGGTAGTGCCTGCCTTAGAGCAGCCCAGGATGGATGAGACTGATGGTAATCAAGATCATAAGAGTTGGGGGCTGAAGCACAGGATGTGGGGCTCTTCAGCCCTGGATCTCTACAGCTGGTAGAATGAACAGGAGGATATTCGTGTTTGTTGCGTTTGTTTGTTTGTTTGTTTTTACATCATTATACATCAGGCATCTGTTTCTCCAGATATCTATTCTAAAAACAAAGATCAGTGGTAGAGATGTGTTAGAGTAATATTGACATGTATTAAATTTACATGTATAAAAATTAAAACAATTGTCATTTTTGCTGCCAGTAAACAATAATTAATGATAATGTGGATGATTAAAAAATGTAATGATAATGTGGATGATTTGAAAAAAAAAGATGAGAGTGGCACAGTGCTCTTAAAGGATACATTTACATACATAAGGAGGGTGGGAGAACAGGACTTTAATCACACTTGTATTACTTAGGTAGCACAAGGAAATAGCAATTTTGAATATGCAATATGATATGCTTTAATTGAGTATCACCAGCATGCTGTTCATCTGGAGAGAGGAGGGGATACAAGGTAGAAAGCAATATTTTGGCAAATATTTGGTGACATTTATCAAGTTGATGCGTCAGTTCCATTACCTCGATATTTGGCAATGGGACAGAAATATCTGAAAAGTTTACTGTATAATATTATTATAATTTTATTATGATTATATATTGCTTTTACTAACTGCTCTTTAAAAGTAAAGTGTGATATTCTGATGCACACACACACACACTCTCACTGGCACACACATACACACACCCAGTATTAAACATATACACATGCACTGTTACATATACAGAGCTAACCAGAAAAAGGTATACACACTTCAGGAAAAGAAAACCCTGTATAAATATTTTAATAATCAATTAGTTCAGACAACAAGAGACAGAGGCAGCTCTCTAATTAGGCTGTTTAGGCAGCCGCCTAAGGCCTCGCGCTGGCTGGGGCCTCGCGGCCGCCTAAACTGCCTGTGGGCAGTCTGTGTCAGGCCCTCGGTCAGTGACCGAGGACCTGACACCAGGAGGGGGCCCGGCGGCTTGCCCAGTATGCCGCCGGGTGCGAGGCCCCTCCTGGCTGCCTGGCCACCATCGCAGAAACAGGTCTGCAGCTCCGCAGTAAGCAGAGCTGCAGACCATGTGTCTCACGAGAATTGGCCACACAGTGGTGTACACACAATCCATGGGTCTCCTGTGCAAAACTGATCCATGGGCCCCTCCACCCCTGACAGAAACACACACAGACACACACATACATACAGACACACATACATACAGCCAGACACACAGACACATACAGACATACACACACACACACACATACAGAAACATACTCACAGACACACACACAAACACACACACACACCCACACACAAACAGACACATACGCACAGAGACCCACACACCTACAGACACATACACACATACATACAGAGACACACACATATGCATACAGACACACACACACAGATAGACACATACACACAGACAGACAGACACACAGAAATACATACACACAGACACACACATACACAGACAGACACACACAGACACATACATACAGACAGACACACACACACACAAGACATACATACATACAAAGACACATACATACAAACAGAAACACACATACATACAAACAGACATGCACATATACAGACAGACACACACAAACACATACATACAGACAAACAAACACACACACATACAGAAACATACGCACAGACACACACAAACACACACACACACACACACACATCCAGACACATACGCACAGAGACACACACACCTACAGACACATACACACATACATACAGAGACACACACATATGCATACAGACACACACACAGATAGACACATACACACATACACACAGACAGACAGACAGACACACAGACATACATACACACAGACACACACATACACAGACAGACACTCACAGACACATACATACAGACACATACACACACAGAGACACACAAACACATATACACATACATACAAACAAAAACACACATATACAAAATGTTTAAGTCACCCTCCTGTTTCCTACATTTTAGGTGCAGGAGGGTGACTTTCCCTGGGGTCCAGTGGTGGCTCAGGGTGGTGGGAGTCAGAGTTCCCACTTTGACTCTCTCTCCTTCCTCCCGTATGGGCTCTCTCTGACAGCTGGGAGGAGGGACGGGCAGTCACTTCCTCCCAGCTGTGATGTCATCACAGGGGGCCCGGTCATGCTGTTAAAGCGCAGCTGCCCCCTGAAATTTTATCTCCGTTAGGTGGCCCTAACAGCTTGGGCCAACCGATGGGCCCCTTGAAGGTGCGGCCTGGGCGATTTGCCAACCGGGCCGGGCCGCAACACATGGCTGCGACCCGGTATGTACGCCACTGTACACACACTATTATACATATATATGCACACACACTGTTACACAAAAACACATATACAGGTATTGTTACACATATCTACTCATATATACATATCCACATATAGTTACATAGTTACTCACACACTGTTACATGCATACACAAACTGTTATACATATACACACATACACACCTACAAAGATATACACATTCCTATGCACACACAGTGTTACACACATAGACGCACACACTGTTAAACATATATACACACACATATACAGATACCCACACAGTCATACAAATACACACATATGCACACATACCCACACACAGTTACTGTTACACATATATACACACACATACACATCCATAAATAGTTACACATATACACACACTGTTACACATATACACCCACACATATATACACACTCATATACACAAACACACTGTTACACATGCACGCATAAACACTATTACACATATACACATATACACACACACCCACTGTCATACATACCCACACACACTATTACACAATAACAATTTATTTGGCTGAGTGTTCCTGGCAGTCTTTCATAGCATAGTATGCAGCCAGTTCCTCTAATCCATGGTCAGGCTTTGAATCAGCCCCCAGGCACAGCAGCCCACTGCGAGTATGGCCCTGCATCCTCCCTCCTACTTGTGGTTTCCTGGTGCCAGCTGCCAGTACTGCGTTAGTGCCAACTCTCTTGCTCCCCTGCTGAGAGTTGGGAGGATGAGACGTTAAATACAGAGTGTAAGAGTCCACAAAATACACTCTTGGGTCAAAGCCTCTTTTGCCACCTATCAACATTTATGTTTTTGTCCAACTCCTATACTTGTATGCCAGTTGAGGGGCTAGAGAAAGATATGCAGTGTTACTGTCTGTTCCACAACCTTTTCTAGTTTATTAGCAAGAAGAGTGGGAAAAAATGTTGGTTGCAATCCAGGAGGCTGACTCACATCTCATCCAGCCTGGAACATTTATGGGCAATGCTAGTTCAGTGGGGCTTGAACCCAAAGTAAAGCAAAACTTGATGATCCTTTCCTCATTGCATCAAACCTAACCTCTTTGAAACATCATCCTTTAGCCTTGTATGCTCCACATCTTATTCTTCTAGATTATGT